CTTCGCTTGTGGACACGTGGGGCGGGGTACGCCGTGATTTAATTGCTGGCGTGCGCTTTGATAGATACTCAGGCGTAGTTTAGGGCTTACACGAGCATGTATCAAGAAACAATAACACACACACACATACACATACGCACACGCACACACACACACACACACACACACACACACACACACACACACACACACACACACACACACACACACACACACACACACACACACACACTCACATACTCGCGCACAAACACACACTACACACAATCCACGCATGTTTACATACACACAAACGCTCACACAAAAACGCACACAGCCAAACAGAAAATGTTAACAAAATAACACTCCCAGCAACAGGTACTGATTATTCTAGACAATAAAAACATTTCTAGTTTGATTTATTAAAAAATTACGACAATTACACTCGTTACGCGGATATAATCAAGAAGAGAGAGGGAAAAAAGAGAACATATAATTTTTCACTTAATCTAGGACCTGAGTCAGCATGTAACTCATGACTCATTTACAAGGAACAATTACCAGGCCGGTGCCGTACTCACGGGGCTGGGTCTTGCCGGCTGCCGGTCGGGAGTTTGGGGGAGGAAGTGGGAGGAAAAGGGGATAGATAGGGAGAGAGAGAGAAAAGGAGAAGAAGCGAGAGTAGGGAAAGGAGGTGATATATAAGGAGAAAGAGTATGGAAGAGAGTGTTTCGTGAAGGAGGTGAAGAAAGAAAGAACAGACAAAGAGTAAGGAAGAGGAAGAGGCAGATAGACTGGAAAAACAGTAGGAGAGGAGCAGAGAGAGAGAGAGAGAGAGAGAGAGAGAGAGAGAGAGAAGAGAGAGAGAGAGAGAGAGAGAGAGAGAGAGAGAGAGAGAGAGAGAGAGAGAGAGACAGACAGACAGACGGACATACAGACAGACAAAGATACAGTAAGACAGAGACAAAGAAAGTCTAGGCGAGTGGGAGAGATAAGAAGGAAGTGCAAAACAAATTAATGAAGAGACGAATAAAATGAAGTAAAAGCGATTACACATTTTCATTTTCACATTTTATGCTTTCTTGCCTTAATCGTCTTTTCCAGTTCTTTACATCTTTTATGAGGAGAAATAAACAATTGTATGAAAATACGTAATATAGATATAATTTTATCCGCTTAGTGAATCCGCATGCAAAAAGGAAAGTATGAAAAGGGAAAATTAATAGTAAAGACACTGGTGAAAAGGAACGTGATAAAAGCCCTAAAAGAAATAGGAAAGGGAGAGAAATAAGGGAGAAAAAAGCGGAAATAAAGAAATCTAGAGGATAAGACAAATATAAAGAGGGAGAAGAGAAGGGAAAATGAAAGGTGAAAAGATGATTCATAATTATCGAGAACAATAATAAGTTATCATTAGAAGCGTCACTGGCATGGTCTGTTCTACTAGCTTTGACAACTGAGCGTCTAATACGGTGAAAGGTGGAATAATGCACTAAGGCATTGATACCATCATATCTAATGCAATGTTGATATCACGACTTTTCTAATAAGTCTGTCTCTATTACTACTATTGCTACAACTCTTGCTATTGCTACTATTGCTACAACTCTGCTGCTACGATTACTAGCTCTATATCTTACTACTTTTACTATTACTACAATCACTACTACTACTAGTTGCAGTTCAACTACAGCTACTAGAATACTATTTTTATTACAAGTACTGCAACTACTGCTGACAATAACCAAAGTAGTGATAATAATAATGATGTTGCGTATAATGATAATAGTAATAATAATAATGATGTTGCGTATAATATAATAGTAATAATAATAATGATAATGATGATGATGATGATGATAGTAATAATAATAACAAATAATAATAATAATAATAATAATAATAATAACAATGATAATAGCAATAATGATAACAATGATAATAATAATAATAATAATAACAATAACAGTGAAAATAATATTGATAATAATAATGATAATAGTGATATGAACAATAATGATGATAATCATAATAATAACAATAATAATAATATTGGTATGCCGAAACCTCCATTCATTCCCTTGGGGCCGCTTTCTTATGTGACGCTCAGCGACCGCTAGTTCGCAGGCGATTCCAAAGAGAAAAGAAAAGATCATCTCAAGAATTGGGGATCGAGTTCCTCTCAGCCACATCGGCGGAGGGAAGGAGGGAAGCTTTCAGGACAGCCAACACCTCATCCTAGCGAGTGCATGGCTCCTTGACTGTTTTCTCTCGGGCGCGACTTCAGTTGGCCTTACGTCGGGAGAATTAGCTTGAGAAGCCATTGATTCTGGAGCTGTAAACACTGACGGAGTGAAATTTCCGCAATATGTTTTGGATTATTTCATTCGTCTACATTTCGTTTATGAGCCGCGGTTAATGCTAAAAATCCCGATGGCATGGAGGCACAGGATAGAAGGATTTGGTTGTCGAAGGAGGTTCTCTGGTCACGTGTCCAGAACCCTCGAACCTTTCCTTGTTTGATGCGTTGGCCGTTTGGGCTTTTCTCTTCCGACAAATCCTTTCCTCTAAAGCCCTTCCACACTAGCACTTTTCCCGTCAATGTCTGGGGTTCCGTCTGAATTCGAGGCTTTCCGCAAGGGTCGTCTACAAACTGAACGCCTCCCAGACCAAGACGGTTACGACCGTTTCCGTCTGACTAATCTCCGTGTTGATCTTGTGCTATTAATAAATTAGATAGGATGAGTGAATGTAAACATAACTTAATATTTTAGAACCTTCGTATATACAATATACATCATCATATTTCTTTAAAATAACGTAATATATAAGAATGTTTGTGTGATTCCTGGGACCTCACTCCGACAGCGCCATGTTTGTTTACATGATTTTCATACGAAGTTCATTCGGAAACGCAAAAAAATGGACGGAAAAAGTCCTAGTGTGATAGGGCCTTTCCACTTCATTTCGTGACCAGAGGCAAAAGAAGGGCCATATGGCACTGGCTTGGTAGACCTTCCAGTGACCAGCCGCGCCGAATGGCTATGTCATCAGGGCCTTCCTGTTTGTTAAGACTTTGGTTTTGACGAAATGGGTTGTTTAATAGTTCGATGCTCCAGTTTCTTGCGCAGCGTCTGCTTTCTGTCGTAGGTCGTGAAACAGGTGAGCCATAATCATTAGTGTTTCTTCTGTCTTACCTGGCATTCTTTTGATAATGTTGATTTGATACCCTGCTGTTTAATCAAGTCAACAATAATGATAGTAATAATAAGGTTATGTTGATAATAATAATGGTAATAATTCAAGATTATCATGACAATGACAACAGTTATGATATTTAAATGCTAATGCTGTAATAATAATAATGATAATCTTGATAACAACGAGAATAATATCAATGATAATAATGATGATGATGAAGATGGTGGAGATGGTATCATGATAATAATAATGATAACTATAATAATTATGATAATATTGACAATAATAATGATAGTGATAATATTAGTAATAGTAATGATAATATAAACAGTAATGATAATAATAATAATCGTAACAATAATGATGATGAACATGATAATAAAAACAATGATAATAATAATGATGATAGTAACAACTATAATGATATTAAGAATGATAAAAATAATAATAATGATAATAATAATACTAATAATAATGAAACAATGAAAGTAATAAGAAGGATAATATCGATAACAGCAATAATAGAAATTGATAATAATGGTAGTAATAACTATCAGAGCACTCAGAGAGCGCATACCTCCGTCAAAGCAACAGGGTCACTCATGCAATAAAATATTCACACTTGAAGAACCACATTAAAATCATCACTTTCTCAAGTACACTGGTGACGTCCGTGTTTCCCTATCTGGCAATGCTGATGATTCCTGGATCCGAATCGCCACCAAAGTTTGATGGCATCTCAGTTGGGTTGGGACATACCTTTGGTAAAAGAGGTTTCATAATTTTTTGAATTATCCTGCTAACCAAAAACGATAATGATGATGATGATGATGATGATGATGATGATGATGATAATGATGATGATAATGGCAACAATGACAGTGACAACAATAATAATAATAATGGTAATAATATCAATGATAATAATAATGATGATGATGACAATACCTATAACAATAATAATGATACGGAGAAGAACAATAACAGAATAATAATAGTAACAATAATCATCATTATCATAGGTTTAATAATGATGATAATGATGATGAAAATAATAAAATAATAACTATACTACTAATGCTAAGAATGATAATGATCATAACTAGAAGCACTCAGAAAGCGCATACCTCTGCCAAGGCGGATAATAAGGGTAATGATAATGATAGTTAATCCTATTGCCAAGGTAATAGAGGTAACTAATGCAATCATTAAAAAAAACACGAATAAATGGAAATCGATGGCAAAATTTAATGGCATCTAAAATCATAAAAAATCTATTCATAACTTTTTTTATCCTGTTAACCAAAGAACACTCTAACAAATTAGCTAACCAATGCTACCGAATACAAAACCTCTTTGGCGGAGGTAAAAATTAATGATAATAATAATATTGATAATGATGATGAATATCCTCATCCTGATATTGAAAGAGCTGATAATAGCAATAATGGTAGTGTGATTTTTCATCAATGATAATAATAGTACCATAGATGGTGTCAGTGATTTTGCCGATAAAGATCATGGTAGCCATAATCATTCCAGTCGTACGAGCATTCGAATAATAACAAGATGAAAATAAAACAAGAATTGAAAAAGAAAAAAAAAATAACGTGTTAACTGCCTCGTCTTCCCTGTGTTGCCCGCAGGCTTTTCGTCGACCGCTTTGAACATCGTTTTCATCTTGGGTTATCTCTTCAATTAATTATCATTTTCATCTTTATCAGTCTTCACTCGTTTTTTATCAGTCTTCTCCCATTCCTTTTTTTATCCCTGTGATATTGGCTGCTTGCTCGTTCGTGCAAAGGCTCGTTATCCGAACG